CCTCCATTCCCTTCTGGGTAAGTCCGAGTCAGTAGTTGAAAAAAAAAGGATGAAGAGCAAAGAAAAAGAATGAACAGAGCAGAGGAGCTCTAGCTGGAGCATCTTACTGTGCCACCATCTTGCATTGGTGGACTGCTGCCATTGAACTCGGTTTCCCAGTTTATTTACTCTGTTTTCCAGAAAATAGTTTTGTTTTTTGTTTGTCTGTGTCTAGGGGGTTTTAAAACAGGTTAGCGTTCTAACAGTAAAGCCATATGTTAACAATTCATAGCTGTTTACGTTTGATTAGATTGTAACAAGTCAGAAGTCACACGTCACGAGATTCACCATAGTCGAACAGATTTATTTAAAATCACAAGCTTTCGGAGTGCTACTCCTTCATCAGATGAAGTATTCACTTTAACGTAGTACCATGTGACTTCTGACCTTGTCCACCACAGTCCAACACTGGCATCTCCACATCATACATTGTAATAAACAGTAATTCTTATTAAATATAAGAACCTGGTCAAGGTTTTTTTGTTAACTTGATTCCAACAGACTCATTGCATGCTTTGATTAAAACATAAACTAGAAATAAGAGTAGAGTAGGCCGATCAGCCCTTCGAGCCTGCTCCACCATTTGATATGATCATGTCTGATTCTCTATCTCGGTGTCACATTCTAGCTTTCTCCTCTTAACCCATGATGCCGTTAAAACTTTAAATTTTATCTGTCATTTTCTTGAAATAATCAGTGACTTGGCCTCCTTACCCTTCTGTGGTAGAGAATTCCACAGGCTCACCACCTTTTGAGAGAGGAAATGTTTCCTCACCTTCGTCCTAAATGGTCTACTCAGTATTGTGTAACTACATCCCACAGCTCTAGATTTCACAACTAGAGAAAACATCCTCACTGCATTTAGTCTTTCCAGCCATATAGAATTTTATGTTCAACCAGAATTTTTCTCATCCTTGTAAAATCTAGTGAATACTGAACCAGTCAAACCAACCTCTCCCCAGGACAATCCTGCCACCTCCAGTATCAGCCAAATGAACCTTGTCTCACTCTCTCTATGGGAAGTTTCTCCTCCCTTAGGTAAGGAGACCAAAACTGCATGCAATACTCCATGTGTGAATTCACTAAGGACCTGTGTGAATGCAGTAAAACATCCCTCTGACGGCCAACATATCATTAACCTTTTGCGATCTCGGGAATAGTGGGACTTGAGAATTCGCTTACCTCCCCAAGTTGTTTGTAATACTAATATTTTGAAGTGCGTTGCTAAAATTTGCTCAGAATTTTCTCAATTTCCAGTGTCATACTGACTGACCTATAACACCATGTTTTCTCGCTTCCTCCTTCCTTGAATTACAATGTGACATTTAATAATTTATAAGTTGCTAGGACCATTTTTAGAACCTTTGCGAATTTTAGAAAACTATATCCAGTATATTGGCCATCTATCACTTGCAGCTACCTTTTTGAGAACCCTAGATATAGGCCATCAGGTCCTAGGGAATTGTTGTAATTTAGATCCTTAAACTTCTCCAATGCTTTTTCTCTGCTAAATTAAATATCCAAAGTTCTTCACAGTTCTTAGTCACTCGGTTACCCTATATTTCCAGCGTATAATTTGTCTTCTACTTGTGAAGGCAGACATTTCCTCATTGCTCGTGGAATTTCTCCGGTTCCTGCCTCCAAGAAACCAGTATTTATTGTAACTGCTTTGATATACTTGTAAACACTTTTACTGTCTCTTCTATTTTCACAGATACTTCACTAACACTCTAGCTTTCACCTTTGTATTAAATTATTTCCTCCCTTTGTTTGTCTGCTCTTTCAAAATAACTGTCATCGATTCCTCAAAAATCCTACCCTTACCACTTCTCTCCTTACTTCCTCAGTCCCCAAGATCTTTCCTTCATTCCTTCTCCTCCTTCCTCAACTACATGATGACCCTTGACAATGTTACCTAAAGACATGAGATGGATCATGCAAATCACCAACCCATTTGGAAAAGTGATTCCCATGAATCCTGGGTCACCACAAAGGTTAATGGCCTAATCAAAGCGTGCAAAGGCCTCAGTGTACCCATCTGTTGGAGTCAAGTTAACACAAAACTGACAAGGTTAACAAGAATTAATATATAATACAAACCAATGATCATCACAAGTAAACAGCTGTGAACTATCAACATATGGCCAAATTTGTTAAAACTCTCAAACTATTTTAAAAACCCCATCAGCCATGATCTTATTGAATGGCAGGGCAGGCTCGAGGGGCCGGATGGCCTACTACTGCTCCTAGTTCTTATGTTCTTATGTTATGAATATTTGATCTATTGCCCAAATCACAAACCAAATGTGGGGAAAAAGATTAGTTGAAAGAAGGAAAATGGACAAACAATCTTTTTAAAAATTAAATAATTTTCAAACCTTGTACAGAAATCAAATGCTGAAGGAATGGAACTCCAAATATGTAAAATTACATTTTCAGGTGCTTTTGTAATAATTAAGACATACCATACTGTTAAAAATCCATTTATGCCAGCCTGAACATTTTCTTGCTTGGTTATTGAGTCAGTGCCCATGTATGAATTTCAAGGCTAAGTCATTGTTGAGTTACCAGCATAACACATCTTGTGGAGTAGCAGGAGCTTCTGGATTCCTCTATTTAACTGTAAAAATTGTCTTGAAATTAGAAGCTGTATGCTTAGCTCTGCAGTTTATGCAAAATGGGATAGATGACTAAGTACTGAGGTTTAGCACTTTGCAGAAACAAATTCTTAGAAATAAAACATTCTTTTTCATTGTTTTGCAGAAATCATGGCAACAAAAGTACATCTCAGTCAACTCGTTCAGATAGCCGAGATCAGCAGAACCTGACTGTCAATTTTAAGCGAGCAGATGACAGCACTCAGCATGATGGCTCTTCTAATGAAAGCTCAGCTGCACTGAGCCCAAACCTTATTCCCTTGCCAGACTTCCAGCAGACTAAACAGAATCTCTCTAGCAGCAAGGATTTAACCAACACCAACTTACCGCTTCTTCCCAGCCCACGTCTAAACTCCAAGGAAGCACATTCTAAATCTAAAGCTGATTTCCAGGTCGATCAGAAAGTTGCAGAAGGTCCAGGTGCAAAATACTTAAAACCCAATACCAAATCTCAGCAGAATCGACACTCGTTTGTAGAAATGCCACAAAGTAAAACTGGAACTCTACCAATTGAAAAACCTAGCCGTCACAGTTACATAGAACCAGTACAAGGCTCTGTCTCTCAGCAGTCAAAAAACCCAGCTGTTTTAACACCATCCAAAACATATAGGACATTGAGTGATTCAAGGTCAGTTGGAAACCTTAGTGACATGAAAATACATGGGGAGGATCAGACATCCAGATATTTCCCTTCAAGCTGTTTGGAACTCAATGCTTCAAACAATCCAACTGGACAAACAGAAAACAGGCCAATGCAAAATCCACCTGCTACAGCCACCTCTATAAGTAAAAGCCTGGAATCCCGCAAACCTGCCACAAGACACTCAACAAATGAAGAAGAGCTAAAAGTTCCTGCCAGTATTGAAGGGGGTCATTCACATTCAGTATCTGCTCCACATGAATCTTTTCCTTACGACTTAAATTATCCCAGTCCTTATGCCTCCAAACCACGTTCGCAGAGACACTCTATGTATATCCCAAGGAAACAACTATCTGAAATTAGCTCTGGAGGTGTGGGACAGGGAATGCCTGCTAGGACAAATAGTTTGCAGATGTTGTCTCCTCAAATGCAACATGCTCGGACCCCTCTCACGAGAGGTTCTGTGGGCTCCTCTCGTGAGGATTGTACAGATACCCCTGGGGTCAGTGTTAACTTTGCTATGGCAGTTTTTAAATTAGAATAGCAATTGATTTTATGCTGTTTAATCATAAGTTGAATGAGGAAAGTAATTATTTTGATCATTCTTAAATACAAGTTGAAGAACTGAGAAGAAAATTAGCTTAGCAAATGTTTCTGTTTGAATTCTGCATACTGAAGAGATGATTCTTAGCACTTAATAACAAAGTATTTAGCAGTATTGCCAAAACTGTATTGGTGACATATCATTTTGTTTACAGTGCCAACTGAATTGATATTGTTGCTGCTATTTCTTGGACTTGATCATGTTTGTAAACTGTTGAAAGAATCATTCCTATCCATCTCAGATTGATGAAATTTGTCACTGAGTTAGTGAAATAACAGCCGATTAAAATAATTAACATCTAAATAATACAGCTGTGGAGAAGTGGATGGACAACACTCTATTCTGCAGACTGAAGGAATTACTTGATAACAAGTCTCCCTTCATGACAGAATACAAGTGCAAAGGTGTTAGCACATGGTGAGGTGAATGTTTGGAGCACTGCTGTTCAGTGCCATGAGGTAGGAAAATGTAACATTGATCTCCCACTTTGAATCTTTGGTTTGGGTAAGCTAAAATGTATTGAGTGGGTAAACTCCAAGAAGAAAGTACAATGGCTCACTTCTGAGGAGAACATTCAAGCACGTAGTCCAACTTGTGTGGTTCATGTACCTTTTTGCATTTGTTCAAGGGAAGCATGAGCAGAATTATGGGAACAGAAACAGAAGTTGCTGAAAAAGCTAAGCAGGTCTGGCAGCATCTGTGAAGAAAAAATTAGAGTTAATGTTTCAGGTCCCATGACCCATCTGAGGAAGCGTCACCGGACCCGAAATGTTAACTCAGATTTTTTTCTTCACAGATGCTGCCAGACTTGCTGAGCTTTTCCATCAACTTCTGTTTTGTTCCTGATTTACAGCATCTGCAGTTCTTTCGGTTTTTAGCAGAATTGTGGGATTTATTGTCTTTGCATCAAATCCAGACTGATTGTAGAAATGGGCTCTTAATTTGAAAAGACAGATAAAATAAGTTTTTTTTTTACAAAAATTATTTTCAGTTAGAAAGTTGCACATGTTAGAAATTGTGAAAACTGCCCAGTACATATTTTGTGCAACATGTATTTCAGTATGTTCTGGGTACACCAACTGGTTGTTTGGTTGAAATGACCTGTAGGAAAATTGATGGGGTCAGTCTTAGGGGATGATAGACATTATATTTATCATATTATATTTTTCTGACGTTGAAAATGTACAGCTATGGCAGTATGGAGACCACTTGTGATCTATCTTAGTTAACCATCCAAGTAAACCAATGTTGACCTTCCTTTCAGCATGTTCAATCAATATTTTAAAAACCATCTCAACCTTTTCACTGAATCTTTTTATATATAGGTCTTCTGAGAAATGTACATGCGTCCAAGTGTTTAGTAAACCATAAAATGATGGGTAAATTTCAATCTTTATACAGTTTATAACAGGTGATAGAATTTTGTGGATGACAGAAAAATAGGTCAGAAGGCATGTAGTGAGGATGATACAAAGAGTCTACAGAAGGATAAAGCCAGTTAAGTGAGTGGGAAAAAACTTGGCTGATGGAATATAATGTGGAAAAATGTGAGCTTGTGCACTTTGGCAGGAAGAATAGAAGAGCTGAGTATTATTTAAATGGGGAAAGGCTGCAGAAAACCACAGGAGGGATTTGTGGGGTGTGGTTTGTGCATGAAACACATTAGCTAACATGCAAGTTCACTTACTAAAAGGAAAGGCAAATGTTCACCTTAATTTCAAAGGGAATGGAATATTAGAAATAAGAATGTCTTGCTACAACTGTATAAGGCACTGGTCAGACCATAGCTCGAACACTGTGAATGGTTCTGATCCCTTTATCTAAGGAACAATATACTTCAAGGTAGTCCAGAGAAGGTTCACTAGGTTGATTCTGGGGATGGAGAGATTCTGTTCTGAGGAGAGGTTGAGTCATTTGGGCTTGTACTCATTGGAGTTTAGGAGAATGAGGGGACACCTTACTTTGACATATGAGATTCTTACAGGGCTTGACAGGGTAAATGCAGAGATGTTGTTTTTGCCTTTGTGGGAGAGTCTAGGAGCAGGGGACATAATCGCAAAGTAAGGAGGATTTTTTTTTTCTCTGAGGATAGTGAATCTGTGGAATTCTTAACCGCAATGTGTTGTTGAGGCTGGGTTGTTAAGTATGTTCAAGACTGAAATAGACAGGTCCTTAATCAAGGGAAGAGGTGGGAAGGTGGAGTTGAGGATAATCAAATCAGCCATGATAATCATTGAATGGCAGACTAGAATTGATTGGGCAAAGAACCTATTTTTGTTCCTGCATTTTATGGTTTTGTAGACTATCTAATTTCTTTAATCCCACTATGGAAATGAAACAAAGGCAATTTCTTCACTTCCAGAATTTTTAATCAGTGGTTGATTTCTATGGAAGTGGATGCTATAATGCCTGTTGTGCACAAAACCAGCACTAGTTTCTTTTTACTTGGTGATTTTTAGTCTTGAATCCTGAGTACATAATCACTTGTTTGTATTTTTGTTTCAGAAGTTGTTTACTGTTAGATGCCTTGTGCCTTCTCCATCTGTCTTGCTTATCTTTTATCGAGTGTCCTCCACCAACATTCGTTGTAAGCCTCCCATTCTTGTCTGTTGTCTTTCTCATTGGTCAAGTTTAGTGGTACGAAATAAGATGGATGTAACATTGCTGTTGCTTTCTCTTGAGGCAATATTTCTGCACATTACATATTTTACAACACTTAGTATGGTAAAACTGCTAACAGGTTCCAATATTAACATTGTTTCATGTTGTACTTGAAAGGAAAAGCAATCTTGCCTTTTCCTTTATGTTGTTTCTTCCGAGTTTTGCCCATTGTGCTGTGATCACGAGCAAAGTCTAAAACTTTGTTTACTTGTTCCATTTCAACGCATCACCTTTTATTTGTTCAAATGATTTGGCAATTGTCAGGCCAAATAATTCAGATTATAAGGTATATTCCTCAACACTAATTGTTTTCTAAGTTAATATGTTACGTACTCAATTGTAATATTCTGTTCCATCTGTTCCTTGGTTTTATACTCGTAATTAGCAAAAATATAAAATCTGCAAAAGTACAAATGCTTCTAGGCTACTAGGGTTTTCCAAAATTGTTAGGTTAGTATAACCTGTTCATTTGTACTTCATATTACCATGTTAGATAATAAAAGTTTTGGTCTATATGTGATTTCCCATTTCCAAACCTAGCTTGATTCTCTTTTGTACAGCATTACTAATAACATTTCCCTGAGACCGGTAGAAAGATACGCCTTTAAGTTATTGTCTGGATCTCTCCAATCTTTGTTTTTTCCTTCCTTTTGACATTTTATTTTCTTGTGTGCATACCAAATTTGATAATTGTATTGTCTCTTTTGCAATGGTGTCTTTGCTATTCTTGATTACTTTTGCTGTTTTTTTTTACAGGTCCTGGTAACTTCTTAGTTTTTAACTTCTTCATGCCTCCTTTGACTGGACCCTTCTGTAATTATTTTCTGCGGTATTTTTTTGTGGTTCAGGCTTGTTCAGAACCTCTTGAATTTTCAGCCTATTGTAACATAATCATTTATGGCATAGACGGGGGCCACTTGGCTCATCAAATCCATGCTGTATCCCTGCAGAGCAATCTGTTGTGTTTCAAGATGTCTTCTGCCATTGGTCCAGGATTTTTTAGTTCAGTCAAAATCAACCATTTGTACGGGAATCCCTGTCTGTCTGTCTGACTGAACGTTTTTCTTTTAAACTGTTGTGTGTATATTATGATTCAGAATTTGTATTCTCTCCACCCAATCTTACCTGTTGCCTTTTAGGCTTTGCAGTAAAACCAAATATTTTTATAATTTCTTTTGGTTTCTCCTTTGTTCTTTCTTTTGGTTTCTTACATTTTACTTACATTTTGATCATGGTTCCTTCCAGCTTGTTTTTTCTAGCCTGCATTCTACAGCTTCTATGATTGATCTGTTGTCTATCACTGTTGTAAAACCAGTAGTTCTCTTTTTTTTTGCTTCACTTGTCTGTGTAACCAGTTTTTATCTGTTTTCAATATTTAAAAATTCAGTCATTCTTGGAAAGTGGTTCAGTATTTCCCAAAGTCCATGGAACTCTAGGTTGATTCACTGTTCTCCAGCACATTTTTCCTTGCGTGCATATTCCTAGGTTTTATTTTTAATGACTGTCTCCTTATTATCAGCTGCTATAATTACACCTTTGCACCAACTGATGTTGCTTGTTTTTTATCATTTATCAATGAATTTTTTTTTCAATAGTCAAATTACTTTTCCTTATAAAATTTGCAGATCTTTATCTGTGACTTAAGATTTTTGTTGCTGCCATGAAGTCCTGTGACCCATATATTTCATATGGCTTTCAGCAATGACACATTGTGTTGCAGCATCACATTGGGAGGTTAGGTGTTGAACATCTAACTAGATTCTGTACTTTTTACATCAAAATGATAGGAATTAATCCTTGGAGGACTGTTTTGCAAAATGCAGATGTGTTAACAATTCTGAGGCTTTGATGGATCTATAGTTATAAATGGTATTTTATGAATATAAGAATGTTCAGTCAGTTCAAGGCACTGAATGGTGGTCTTTTTCAAGTCTAGTTAAGCTTCTCTTGCAACTTTTATTTGCTGTTTTTTTTCCCCACTTAGGTGATGCTGCTTTCTTGAATTAGATTTATTGTCACATGAGCACAGTGAAAAGTTTATAAGTCGTTACTTATGGTGCCACCTTAGGTATAAAGCTACCTAGGTACAGAATCTTGGGTACGAAGCAGAAAAATAAGGAAAACAAAGTTTGAAGTGGAACAACAAAAACACAGTTAACGTTCAACACTACAGTCCATAAGCACCTGGCCAATCTGGCTTGCACTCTACATAACGGCTTGACCTCCCCCACTTCAAG